AGAGGGGGCTTATGATTCTAACTTCGTTATCGAAGTAGAAATTGAAACGATATCTTATCGAAGTAAGATAGTCGTTCTTCTTAAAATCAAGTCGAAGCTTAATTTCAAGGCGTTGCAAGAAAAGAACTCAAATCTGCTCTCTCTCTGCTCTGGAATGCTCTAACAAATGCTCCATCTCGTCAGAAGTGACCCTAGGGGGGTATTTATAGCCTCAAGGGTCAGTGACTGCAAAAACTTAACAATCGAAGAAGTCAGTACGGCGAGACAGTGTTTACTGTCTCGCTGGGCGAGACAGCGTTTGCTGTCTCGACCCGCGAGACAGTAAATTTGCTGTCTCGCTCAGCGAGACAGTAAATGCTGTCTCGGAAAATGGAAGTTTCTCGCTGTAACTGTTCTCCCACGTTTCAAACTCCGTTATTTTGGCAGTTATCCACGTGATTTTTGCCCACGATGTTTCCCACGTCCCTTGGCAGTTAATGGACACGTGTAGGGCAGTTACAAATGTTGGTTTTGACCATTTCAACACTGTCTTGTTGGCGAGACAGCAAACACTGTCTCGCTGGCGAGACAGCAAACACTGTCTCGCTGGCGAGACAGCAAAGCCTGTCTCGCTGGCGAGACAGCAAACACTGTCTCGCTGGCGAGACAGCAAACACTGTCTCGCTGGCGAGACAGCAAACACTGTCTCGCTGGCGAGACAGCAAACACTGTCTCGCTGGCGAGACAGCAAACACTGTCTCGCTGGCGAGACAGCAAACACATGCTTGGGATATCTATTAGCATTTTTTGACGCCTACAGATACCCCCTCCAAAGTATTCCAGACTCATTCTTTTATAGAGGAGCATGGGATACTTTGGATAAGATAGATTTTACTTACGATCCCTTCAATGCTTGGCTGAATAGATCGTATGAAAGGACTTGTAAATGGCTTCAATGTTTAACCTCTTCTGCTGTTAGTCTATCCAGTTCTTCGTAGAATAGCTAACGTTCTCCCGGCGTCGCGTTTATCGCTTGACCGTTGTCGAGATCTTGAATTGAAGTTGATACTTGCTCTTGTGAATTCAGCGTTTACCATTGAATTGGTATATCCATTGAGAATTCCTCAGGTTATCCTTAAGAATATTCAGATTAATATTCTCCAGGAACTTCCTATTGAGGGTGGGAATACAGTTTAGACTCGTGTACCCGTTGGAGTATTCATTTGCATTACATTTGGCTTTTGACCCAGATAATATCTACTATTTCATGGAGCGAAACAGAAGAGTTTGCTGTCTCACTGGGCGAGACAGTATTTTCTGTCTCGCTCAGCGAGACAGTGTTTTCTGTCTCGCTCAGCGAGACAGTGTTTTCTGTCTCGCTCAGCGAGACAGAGTTTTCTGTCTCGCTCAGCGGGGCAGAGGCTATAAAAGTCGGGACTTAGGGTTTTAGAGTTTTTTTCACGTCGGATTTTGGCGATTTTTTGAGCGATTTTCGAGCGATTTTCGACCAGTTCTTCACCTCTTCTTCTTCTCTTCGTTTCTGATTTGGGTGGTGCTTCGATTTGAAGAGATTTCACTTGGATTTCAAAGGTCTGTTCGCATCTTTTCTTCAAAATCTTGATTTTCTTCAACTGGGACTGTGCATGCATTGTTTCAGCCATATTTTGATCGATTTCATGCTTAAAATCTTGACTATTTTCATTGGATTTCCTTGTAGATCATTTGCTCGTCATGTCGCCGCGTAGAACTCGAGGAAAGGGAATCCGACCGACTGTTCAGAGCCCTGAGGAGGCTGCCCCTGCTGCACCCTCACGTGGAGGTATATTTCTTTCACCTTTTCACGAATTTAAATACTGTATTTCGTCAATTCCATATGTATATGCACCTGTATTTGCTTGCAGATCCTCGTTTGTATCCTTTGAGGTACCTTCGAGAAGAGCCGGTATCCTCCTTTGAGGGGATCGACGCTTAAAAGTGTTTGTTTTGCTTTGACAAAACACACTTCATAATACACAGGGGCGATTTTATATCATCCCATATGTATTGAAAGGTTTTGGTATGCCGTTATAATGCCCGCATACCTCCTTTATACATATGGTGGATAGAAAATCGTCACACCTGTTATGAGATAACGACTATATCTTATAGAGTGAGATATACCGCTTTTCTCTAAAATTTTAGGATGACACTTACACAATTTATGTGTATGCCTCTTTTATCAGTCCGATTTCCTTCTACCACATTTACTGCTGATGTGATTACTGGCCGGAGTAGCGTGACCCACTCTTATTACGAGGGGATCCCGTTAATTGAATTCTCTCCCCAGTTTAAATCTGATTATAACGGAAGTGATAGTGAATTAATCCAGCGAGGTAGTTGTCGTGTTCTACGACGATTAATCACAGATGCGCCCTTGATCTCGGAGCAAGACTCGAATCAATGCATAAGGAAGCCAGATTTCTTATTTGGTGACTCGGTAAAAGATCCGAAGATTGCTTTCTGCCAGCCTGCGCAATGGTTGCACCAGAGTGGATCATCATTCTTATATCTGCCTTTTATCCCTCGGGATCATTCACTGTTAATGTTCAGGAACCTATCAGTTGGACGAGAGATGTTCTGGAAATTAACCGAAAACCACGAGCACATTCATTGTGGTTTCATTGGAAAGGAAGCAACTCCAGGTTCCAGTGAAAGAGCTCATGTGAGAGGACTTCATCCGGGTGTCTTAGGACAAGACAATATTCCTCAGAACGAAAAGATAGTGCAAGCCAACACTGTGAAGAACCGGTTAGCGGCAGCAGGAAAAAGATTGCCCAGAGAGACTTTCAGGTGTTATGGATGGGTCCATTATTCTGGGAACAAGTGGTGGTGGACCAGGATGACCCAATATGTGTTGAAACGTTTTGGGCGAGAATTAGCAGGATTAGGGTTGGATGTCCCGATTCGTGCCACCATGCATGGCTTGCAGAGCAGTGTAAGTCATTTCCTTTGTTTGTTCGAGATCTACAACCCGGACACCAATACATTCTTTACCAAGAACGGGGAACTTGGACTACCACTGCATGAAATGATGCAAGTGTCTGCTTTGCCTATGGGCGATGTCCCATATCAAGAGTTCTTTCCGACCACCAATCAGCTGATTAAGATGAAAGATAGCTCGACTGCGACCTATGACACTCTATGGGAATTGACCTGTCATTATCATATAGCCATGGCCGAGATGGAGCCCAAAGCCAGAAAGAAGTCTCCTCAAGTCAGTTTAAAACAATTCGCTGATTATCTCTTCAAGAACCTGGATGTCCGTTCGGCAGATGTGTGCGGATTGTCTCCCTTGAGTACGGATGAAATTAACCGTTTGTTAGAGAAAACCAACGCGCATTCTTATACTTCGCGCTCAGAAGATGGATTTTTGCACGGCACTAAGTTCCGCTCTTATCTGTGGCAAGCTGGTGTTCCGATTAGCCCTACTGCTCTGCTGGCGGGTTTTCTAGCCTTATGGTTAAAGAGATGTGTAGTTCCCCATCAATCCGCAGATGCGATGCCAATGGAAGTGTTGTATCCGGCCGTCCAGCTGGCTACAGGTCGCAAATTATCTTTGCTTCCCGCTATGGTGGCCGATATTCATAGTGGATTGCGGCAACTAATCTCCGCATTTACCCAGGAGAAAAAGAAACCTTCCGCCAGCCTGTCCGTTCCGAAGCTGGAGCTGCCCTATACTTACTTAATGGCCTGGTTGGTACTTCATCGACCAGATTTAATGGAGGCTCCTGATACGGTAGATCTCAGTGTCCCTCTGTTGCAAAATCTCGAGAATTGCAAATGGAGCAAACATCGAGAGCCGGACATAACGAGGCAGTTTAAAATTCACAAATGTTGGGAATTTTTTCCTTGCTTCCCTCAGTTCTCCGGTACTTACAACACTACCTTAGTGGATGCTGAAGACCCAAGGCAGAATCGTACCATCTTGGATGTCGGGTGCTTCAGATGGTTGATGAATATTCGACCTGGATATCTGTTGTTCAGGATAAGGGATGTTTGCCACATCGAACCCTATCTTCCATGTCGATTCGCCCGTCAGTTCGGGTATGATCAGATATACATCGGCAACCCGAATCGTCACCTCAGCTTTCGAGGTGGACTTATCGACGGGGCGAGAGCTTGGTTTTGGAGCATTGCCGGCTGCACCAATGTTGAATTTGATCTCCCCTTAGAGACGCCGCCTCTACGGATGACTTTCCTCTTTTGTAAATGGCTGATAGCCACCAATATTGTCACTCGACGTAGGAGGATATCAGACTCAGAGGAAGAAATAGCTCCACGGCAAGCAGCAGAACTGCCTCGCGAAGCTGTGATGTCGCCTCGAGGAAAAGAGGCTGCTGAATCATCAAGGAAAGGAAAGGAACCGGCTCGCTCAGTCGGTAGTGAAGAAGAATTTGACTCTGAGGAGACGGAGACTTCCGAGGAGGCGGGTGAGACTAGCTCAAGTTCTGATGAAAGAGCGGGTCTTTCTGATTCTTTCTTTGAAAGAGGACTTGTGTGCCCATCTGTTGCTCCTACTCAATCACAAGCTACTTCGAGAAAACGGGGAGAGAGGGTCGTCATGACCTATCCTAATCGGATGACGGTAGACATTCTCAGTGGGGACGAAGAGGATGAAGAGGATGAAGTGCCTCTTGCTCGTCGACAAAGATCACGACCTCCCACTCAAGCTCAAACCCAAATTCCTCCTCGAACTGAATTACGCACCAAACGTCGTCACGAAGGTCCTGAAGCACATCCACCGAAGAAACAAAAGAAAGCTGCTTCTAAACCGCGCGTTCATCTTTCTGCCGTAGAAGATATCTCTGGTCGTAATGTTTCTTCTGATGAACTAGGTAATTATTTATTTTTATCTCTCTTACATTTTTTTTTAATGCTCGAACTCATTTCATTTCCAATTTCTGTAGAGAGTCAAGAAGAGGGAGAATATCGAGTTGGAGCTGCTTCTCCTGGAGGTATAGGAAACAAGCTTCGTCCAACAAATGCATGATGCTCTGAAGGAAGGATCGGCTGATGTTCCACCAACTCCTGACGTTGATCCATCAGCTGCGGACACAGGGACTGATCTTTCTCCTCTCGGAAGAGAAATCCGAGAAATGAATGAGTCGGACCGTGTGCCTCCTCTAATGACCTGTGCGCTTTCTCTCCTTTTAGTCAAATTAAAAGAAGCAGGTACCAGTAGTGGAGCTCTCGAATCAGCCCCGACCAACGAAGGTAAAATTAATTGTCTTTTTGAGCAAATTCGTCTAAATTTATGTGTCATTTACGACTCAACACATTTTGTAGATGTCACAATGCACGAATCTGTTGGAGGAGAGACCACGCATACAACAGAGGTCGAGGAATTCAATGAACATCACCTCGATTTCAATCTCTCTGAAGGCGACCATGAGTATATCTCCGACTTACTATCGGGGAAAACTCCTGGTGCAGCCACGGAATCCAGCGTTGGAGTCGGTTCAACAGAAGCAGGTCCTTCTGAAAGTAAGACCTTTATTCTGTAAACTCCATATATGCATACATATATATTTTAACTTGATTAACCATATAAGTATTTGAATTATAGGACCAGTTGCTGGAACTGATACTACTATAATCATTGGTACGTCTGATCGACTAGAGGGTAGTGAACTTGTGCCGTGGACAGGAACCGAAGTTAATATCCAATCATCTATTCCTGAATTCCAGCCTACTACTCCTATGGACCCCATGATGATAGAAGTCAGTGTCACTCCCCAGATTAGTCCGGTCGCAACAAAAG